CCGAATGGACATAGCTACAACATCCACAAGGAGGTAGCATAACAATAACGTTATACCTCCGGACTAGCTCGCCCTATCGTCGCCTGAGCGCCCCGCGCGGACATTCGGTGCGCCGGGGGAGGGGGTGTTCTAATCCTGATGCCTGGCATCTGGCGAAGGCTCTAGAAACTTCCGCAAAAGCCTCGCCCAAGTTGATGGTGTTGTCCAATGGCCTCGGGGCTTGCTAGACTAACCGCGAACGTGGTGCTGACGCCGAGCAGCATGAAATGGCGTCTTGGGCGTCTAACGGCACGTGGTGGGGCAGAAGCTTGTCCGCATTTCCGCCCTTTTCGAATGTACAGCGCAGTATGGGATAGGCCGAGGCGCGAGGTTTGATCAACATGTAACCAAGCTCTGAGTCGCAAGCAGCTCCGAGGCAGGAGGTCGTTATTGCTCACCTCCTTGTTCGGTCAGCGTCTTGTGACAGCCATCGCGAGAGTTGACGCCATTTGGGGTGTATTGGATGAGGGTGACTCAGGAGAGTCGATTTCCGCTGCGGTTTGTTGGCCGAAATTTCAGACTCATGCCGGAACTGAGATTACCAATACTGCGTATTGATGACAGTTCGTGTGACGGTGAAGCAGGAGTAAGTATGTGGCCACCTGGAGGTATAAAACATGTCCAGGGGCCAGGGGCCATTTGATTTGTGCCATTTCAAATCCCGAGCCCACCCAGAGAGGAAGAGGAGAAGATGAAGGTAAATCCGTACAATGGACAATTCGGCCTCCATGGCCTACGACTTAGTAAAAGAAAGGCAGTATGTAAACTGGATTTAGTCGCGTTTGTTTGATTTCTCTCTAGTGAGACATCCACAGGTAAGACGGAGATTTTACAAGGCAGCACGCAACAATGGATTTGACGATGTCGTATTATCTTTCTGAGAGAACTCGACTATGATTTGGTACAGCAATGCTTGCTGGAAAACGATTCTACTCGTAGGTAAGGTCCTGAAGGTGATGCAACGGGTGTAAGACGGACAAATGCATTGCCGTTGCAACAATCGGCCGTTGTAAACTGTTTGGTTTTGAATTTCTCGATTACGATTCGAAGAATTCTAGAATTCTACAACGGCATTGTTTATTTTGATAAAATCCAGTTTACTCTCAAGGCGAATGGGAGAAGATGGTGCGGTGCTTCTGGCTGAGGTGTACAGATTCTCGGTGTCACCAAGGTGTCAAGAGAGAGAATAAGACAATATGCGCCAAACTCGACTGCATGAAAGCTCACGCTCTTTTCATTCTCGTACAGGATTAGTATTTAAGCTTTTATGGTTCTTTTTCGATCAGAGAGTTGATACTCTTGTGACATTTGTGTAATGCGTGTGACAGATGCTGAATTTGATCAAGCTTACAATAACCCCATTAACAAGAACAAGACACAGACATGAATCCAGAAATGTTACAGCGTCTTATTACTACTTCCAGACAAACATTGAAATAGATATCTGAAATCATGATACAATTGGTACATCTACCTGCAAAACAACTGTTTAGTTCAGTCGAAACAAGAGCAATTATTTCTGACTACTCCGTATATCCTCAGAAGAGGGCCCATTCCAAACCCCCACATTTCCCGCCTTGATATTCTACAAGAGCCGTATCCGTATATCCACACTAAAAGAGCCAAGTTAATAGATACAGTATGCCCGTATGTATTAAAGAAATCCGGTCCGCGGTAATAAAAGCCGGCGAAAAGAAATAGTTCGACCGCGGCAAACGCCACCGCTGACATGCTACTAGAGTTCGGCTCTGCTCCTGGGCTCGCCGTTGTGCTTAGCGCCATGGGGTGGCAATGGCGTTCAAAACAGATTGTAGCAAGCAGGCCTGTAAAAGTTATACGCACTGTAGACATGATGATGCTACGGTGTAGTTTCCGCTAGGCTTTACAAAGGAAATTGACAAATACATATTAATAGAGTAACCGCAAAATACGATGGATAGAGGCAGAAAGCAATAAAGGCATATCAAGATGCCTCAAAGACCAAGTGAACCATCTATTTAACTGTCCAGCTTGGCCAATTCACAGACCCGCTTTCTTTCTTTCCGTCGACAGCTTTTAAGAGCTAGAAGCTAGTCAACGGCATTTTCGCTCGGCGTACTTTTGATGCAATTTGCCGATCGACTTTTACACTAAGACAGACGACAAAACTACTAGTTGCGACAGAAGAACAAGGGGGTTGGACTAGGTTGTGATTATCAATCAATTTATTGACGTTGCTGTTTGAGTGACGACGCTCGAGGTGCCGCGAGTTAGTTGTCTTTACCGCTGTTTCTACATGGAGGCAGATGGTGCAATTAGCCATAAACTCGGAGTTGTGAACAAGACTTATGGATGGACAAGAAAGGGGAAAGAAAAGGTAACCAGGTACAATAGCCGAGTCATTTCTTTTCATGTATCCGATATGGAGAAACAATACTTCTGAGCATATATAGTGACACATCTTATGGTACAATGCTCAAGCAAGACAAGATACAACCCGGGTTGGTCCGGACAAAGTTGAAAGCATCAATCATGCCGCAAACACCGGCCCATGCCTCGCGAGAGGTAAAAATAACTCCCCTCTCCCAATCCAAGTAGGCGTACCTGCAAATCCTCCCTCTGGATACGCCGTCCCGTCCGTCCAAGACGCTATAAGCCATTTCCTTTCCCGTTGCGCCTTAATGGGTAGCTATGTTTTGAAAAGAAAATAAGAAACAAGAAAAAAAGTTGCGCAAGGAGTAGGAGCCCATTGACCATTGGCAATCATGCCGTCACAAACGCCCTTCATTTTACTCTCCCAACTCCATGAGTTCTCGCTCTTTTGCAGCGAGCATCTCCCGCATCCGCTCAGCCTCTTGCCGCAGTAACAATCTGCGCTCTGCCTTGATTCGTTCGCTCTCCGCATCGATATCCTGAGGCCTTGACGTCGCGTTGAAAGGCGTAAATCCACCGCCGCCCGAGAGTTTCGGCGATATACTAGCGGGAGACCTCAGGGGCGGCAGAGAATAATCTCCCCGATCCGCACTGGTAGGCCCAGTATTTGATATTTCGTCGGCATTTGTCGATGGATTCAGGATGGATTTGATGGAAGAGATTCGCTTCGAGCTGTCGTGACCACCATCTGCACCTTTGACAGAGTCTGCCTCGGTAGATGAAAACGATCGTTTGCGGTTGGGTGAAAGGAAGGAGGCGGGCGATAGGGAGGATTGTCTTTCGTCGGCTATTGTTGAATTCATCGAAGCTAGCGGCGCTAGTTTATTCTCGTCGTTTAGAGATGGTGGCATGCTGCGTGACGCGGTGCTGTGTTGATGATACACTGCCAGATCAGACGCAGACGCAGAAGGTAGTGGCGAAGGATTTCGACTGGTCGGTTGAGGCTCGATGGTCAGAGGGTGACCGGGGCGACGTCGAAGGCCTAGATTTACCGATCCGTCTTCGTTAATAGTTCCCCTCTCTGGGGTCCTCTCCTGGCTTTGTGTTTCCAGTCCCTCCATGCCCTCGTCCATTTCTTCATCCTGTGCCGCAGGAATCACCCGCTTCCGCCTTTTGATGGTGGCCTTTTTCATAGTGACTGGTCTATGAACACCATGCAGCTTGTAATACAGCCCTAGATACCCCCCCTACTAGTTAGAAAAACAATATTCAAACAGTAAAACAGTGTCATGTATAAACTCACCACAAGCATTGCAGATTGTATGTCCACTTTCGTCTCTCCTCCACAAGGGGGTTATTGTAGTTGCACAGTTCTGACATGCTATGATAACAGTGGTATCCCGTTCTTGCGTCTGGAGGGCATTGATATCGATGGGAACTGGTTCGTTCTTGGGTTCAACACGTCCATGGCAGCCGCCTTGTCGCTGCATCACATTGAGCTGGGCGCTCTTCGACATGCGGTTATTGTATGCAGGGCATCCGTTACATCCCTCAGCGCCGCCGGTCCCGTTGCAGCGGCCGCCGCCAGGACAGGTGCCTGACTGAGTTGCATCGGCCGCTACGTAGGTTGCGCCAGCGACATTTGGCAGCAGCTTTGGTGCGGGAGAGGAGCTTGGCTTCGCAGGCGGCTGGGCTGAGCCGGTGCTGGGCACCAGGTTGGGCGGCTTTTTCAGGCTCGTAGGCCGAGCAGCATTTCGGGCCTTCAAGTATAAGCCACAGGCGTTGCAAATGGTCGCACCTTGGGGGGATCTCCGCCAAAGGGGAGTACGGGTAGTGTTGCAGTTGCTGCAAAAGGCGTTAGCAATGAAATTCACGACGCAACAGCACTGAATAGCCACGACAGAAGCTTACCTGCAAACCTGCCCACCTTGTTCCGGAGCATTTGCTGCCAATAGTTTTTTGGATTTAGGTGCACTTGACGTGCTCCTAGGGCTACCGGCAGTCGACGAGGCGTCGTCATCGTTGCCTACATTTTCCCTTTCCCTTGCATATGAGACAGCATACTCGTCGGCGTGCTTAGGCCCCTGGCCGTCGCTTTCCACCGGAGATGGAGCCGAGTTTATGGGACCAGACGGCGTGGTTTCGCGGTTCTTTACTGACATGGGTCGAGAGGGCAAGGCCGTCCTCGCCGTGCCAGCTTCCCGCTGAGGCCCGACCGGCGGCGTCCCCGGCCGTGATGTTTCACTCATTTCCGCGCCGAGAGTTTCTGTTGATATCAAAGTCTGCTCAGTAGATGACGGCTAATACCACGAGATATGTTGGGCGTGGTACGAGGGCTGACAAATAATTAGTGGCGCAGGCACGGACTCGTCAACCGACGGCCGGATGTAGCATTTGGCAACGGAGGATGGTCGGCCTCGAGGTGGCGAAGATATCAGGACGACGTTTTCCTTGGAAGCACCGATAGATGGAGTCGCTCAAAAGGCCGAAAGGGCGATGGACAGGCGATGGATCAAGAGATTTGATGGTGGTGGTGACGAGCCGGCAGCGACGTTGTGCCGAATCCGAGTCGTCAGGAGACAGGCAAATTAACGTATCAAACGGTCAGGATGGGGGCCAGAAGGCCGGATGAAGAGGCCACACCTCGGCCGAGAGAGCTCGGTGACGCAACGCAAAGTGCCTGGCCAATCGATGCAGAAGTCGAAGAGGAGCCGCAGCTTGGCGGGATGATGGAAGGAAGAGTCGAGAAAACCAAACAACGGTGGCGGCGAGAGTCCAGGGCTGGGGTGAAAGTTGGAGGATTTGAGGAGCGGGGCCGTTGGAAGCGAGACGAGATGACAGTCACGGCGAGTCAAGGCGAGTCCAGGCAAGGCAAAGGCGAAGGCGGGATGATGCGAGGCGAGGCGAAACGACGAACGGTTCGATTTCGAGATGCTTCGGGCGATGTGGTGTGATGTGTGTTTCAAGCCTTTTCCTGCATGTACAAAGCTGGGTACCCGACTCTGTAAAGTGGTCCCCCCCCGATCTGTGGCCGAATCTGCGTCCCAGATCTGGGATATACGAGAGCAGAGGAGAAGATTGAGATTCGAAGGGTTCGAGCAGAGCAGAGGCCACAGCGCCCGTGAATCAAGTTGAGGCCCCCCGACGTCGTTCGATGCGAGAACCACGTCCGGCTCGGCACCAAAGTACCAACTAGGTATGTATAGTACCTTAGTAGTAAGTAGGTGGAATATATTACGAGCACCGGTGAGTGAGTGCCTGTCAAACGGCAACCGTAAAAAGATCTGGGTGGTATCGAGGCCGCAGCGTGTTGGGCTGGCGTGATTGCCGTGCCTCTTAGCACCTCAGAAGCGTCACTCCAGCATGCAAAATGTCCGGAACGAGACCCCAAGCCCACTGCAAGCCCACTGCAACCCATCGCTGGTCCGCCGCCAGCCCACCGCCTACGCCCGGTGGCCAATGAGGCTGTCGTGATACGCCGCCGGGATGCCTCTGCTTACAATAGTCGCCGCCTGATTGGCTGGCGGGTGCAGCATTTGCAAGGGGCAGCCACGACCTCGCACTGCGTCGGTCATCGGCAAGGCTAGACCCGTTGCAGCACCCAGTTTGGAGGACGCGATCAGACCGATAAGATAACGCGGTACCTGGATCGACGTACCTCGTAGCTCAAGCCGGTGTTTGTTCTTTGAACTTTGATGCCGTACGGAGTTGATGAGAGCAAAGCCCACCACATTCAACGCCCATATTTCGAGATCCCGCTTGCCAATTGCCCTCACGCGTCTGCCAACTCCTGTTTTCCTCTTCATCTGGGGCTTGAGCTCATCTCAATCCCACCGCAGCCGCCCGTGATGGCCTCAGACATGGGCAGCAGCCCCAAGCGGGAGCTCACGCCCACAACGTCCCTCTCGTCCATCCCCCAGAAGCGCGCGTTCGACGAAGGCCACAGTCCTGCCGTGCCGTCACCGCTGAATCCAGACGTCAGGCCCTCTTCCGAAGCCCAGCATGCCGACGACGCATCGCAGTCGGGGCGTTCCAAGCCCGTCAGGACAAAGAAGGACACTCTCAAGAAGCGCGAGGCAAAAGGCGGCGATAGCAACCCCGCCACTCCAGATCCCAAAGCTGGACGCGAGCCCGAGCAGAGCGAGAACAGCCCCTTGCGCTACAAGCTGGCGCCGCCCAAATTGTCTGACTTTGACCTCCCTCGCGGACCTGTCATGACGCTGCACCATCGGGTTGACGGACCAGGTGGAGAGGCAATCGAGTTCATGGAAACCTCAGACCAGTAAGTAGCTCTGTTTTCCAAAGCACCAACTATTCTAACCTCGGAAACAGTGTCTTTAACAAGAAAAACTTTCGCTACACTCCCTGTATTGCCGACCCTCTTTTCCCCTCCACGCTATACTATCGACAGACCGAGCCAGAGCCATTTGGGCCGAGGATGAGCTTCGAAGATGCTGCGACTCACGTCTTCTTTGACAAATCCGGCCGGCAAGTCACCACCGATAAAGGCTTCCGCATGGCACGGGCCAACGTAGCCGTGCGCGAAGGAAGATGGTATTGGGAATGCAAGATTACGCAAGGCATACAGCCGCCGAAAGACGGCGACACGAAGCCAGTCGGCGGGAAGCACGTACGCATGGGATGGGCCAGACGAGAGGCCTCTCTTGATGCCCCCGTAGGCTTCGACGCCTACAGCTATGGTATCCGAGATGTCGCAGGCGAAAAGGTCTTCATGTCCCGTCCGAAAGAGTTCTTCCCTGCCGGCGAGGGCATACAGGAGGGTGATGTAATCGGCCTTGAAATCCAGCTGCCATCCGAGCATTTGCATAGAAAAATCATGGCTGGCCACTATAACCCTGCCGTGGATGCGGCGGACGAGCCTGCACCAGCAACTGCAGAAGCAGCCAACATTGTGCGAGACCGAGTGCCGATCCGATTCAAAGCGCACACGTATTTTGAGAAAATCGAATATCACACTACTAAGGAGCTAGAAGATCTCATGAATCCTTCGCCAGCCACATCGTCAAGCTCCTCTAACGACGCCCCGAGCCCTACACATCCCACGCCTGCTCTACGCACACTTCCCAACTCACATATCAGAATCTACAAAAACGGCGTGCTCATGGGGACGCCTTTTGAGAATCTCTTGGGGTTCCTCCCCCCCGCATCCAAACCAATGCCCCAAGTCGGGGCCCGAGAAGGCCTCGACGACGGCATGCTGGGCTACTATCCCGCCGTCAGCGTGTTTAGAGGCGGAGCAGTCCAAGTCAACTTTGGGCCGGACTTTTGGTATCCGCCGGCAGATTACGACTCTACCAATGGCGAGGTGGACATGATTCAACCCGATGGCCTCAGCGCAAACTCTCTCCATGCAGTAGTTGAGCGGTATCAGGAGCAGATTGCGGAGGATGTTATTTACGATATCATTGACGAGGTGGACTTTTGGATGCAGGATGGCGGCGGCGCTACGAACCAGGCTGGTGTTGATGAGAAGACCAAGGAAGTGGTCATGGCACCTGGGAGAGAAGAAATCAAGGAGTTGGTGCAGGACGATTGATTGTGCGATTGTCGCATTGCATGCATGGAATAAACCTAACCTAACTCAAGAGATACCCAACTACGTATACTATCAAAGAAAGAAAGAAAAAGAAAGAATAAAAATACAACCAAGAAGAAAGACTCATTATTCGGAACTCATCCCGTGCTCGTGTCATTATCATAAGAAAGAGGGTATCGTTCCATCTCATCAAATAAACAATTTGTTGGTCATTAGTAGTGATTCTTCTCCTCCGCGGGAGCATTTGATGGCGGCACATCGTCAGTTGGTGAGACTTCAGGTTCTTTCGGGGCTGCTACTTGTTTTCCTTCCGGCGACGTTATGATGACTGGTATGGCTCCCGCGGCTGCTGCAGCCCCTGCCGCCTCTAGGACTCCTGCAGCCTCTTGAGCTTCTTTGGCGTCCGTAGCTGGTTTGTCGTTCTGATCGGATTCTTCCTCTTCGGAAAGCTCTGCTAGTCGGCGAGCGGCCTCTTCGTTTCCAGCTGCTGCCTCCTCACGAAGAATGCGCTCTTCACGGCCGCGCTTGTAGCAGTACCAAAGAACCACAAGCAACACTTTGCACAGTTAGTTTAATGACTACCTACATCGACCAAGGAAGAAGGAAACAAACTTACAGCTTAGAGCGACGCTCCAGATGACATTCATGCCAATAAACGCCGGCCATCTTGACTTCAGGACCTCCACGATTGCTCTGAGCATCCCAACAATGGCACCTGGCTTCTTGACCAGATTTGCCAAGTTCTGCCCAAAGAGCATCCTCTTAGCCGCGCCCTTCATGCCCCCCTCGGCCACTTTGATCCCCTGCGACTCTGCGGCGGCAGCCAGAAGCTCTGGGGCCAGCGTAGTCGTCAGTTTATCCGGGAGCTGCGTAACAAGCTTCTGCAGCGACGAGGGTAGCTTTTCAAAGAGCTTGCTGATGGAGCCATCGCTGTCATCGAACAGCTTAGTAAGGTCATCGTAGGCAGTGGGCACGCCGTTGACGAGATCCTTGAAGATCTGGGTGAATCTCTGAAGGATATCGGACGAATCCTTGGATTCGGTCACAGCCTTGTTGTTTTTGGCGGAGAGGTTCAAGAGGTCGAGGACGCGGGTGAGGTCCTTCTTCTCGCGCTCGGCTTCTTTGGGCGTGACGTTTTCGGTGTCTGGCTTGAGTGTGTCACTGGACTTGACGGTATCTGCCGGTTTCTTGTTTCTCGTAAACAAGAGCGACAGCCTGTTGGGCTTCTTTTCCGCTTTTTCTTTTCCATTCTTGTCTGGCTTTTCTTCGGCAGCTTCTTGTTTCTTTGCAGCGTCGGACGTCTTGCCGGCCTTGTCTTTGTCGTCATCGGTGTTCTGCTTTGATTCATCGATGGAACTTTCATTGTCGGAATGCCAGTCTACATCGTATGTGTAGATGCGAGGCGGCAGCGGTGGCGGAGATTCGTCAGTGTTCTGGGCGAGGAGCTCCTCTAGGAATCGCTCGTCCTCGGGCTTGAGAACTGTCTTTGGGTGATGGAGCTCCGAGCCAGACGAATCGTAGTTGTCGTCTTTCTTGTCGGCCTCCTTGTTTGCGTCTGCATCTTGCTTTCCATCGTTTTTTGTGGTCTCCTTTGCGCTCTCCTTCTCTTCCCTACTCTTCTTGAATTTCTTATAGGAAAAGTACTCGAGCATCTTGCTCTCCGTCCCGGTCGCAACGTGGGTGTAAAGGCTTGTAGGTGGGTAGCGGTTGTGAGAAAAAGGGTTGAGTAATAGGAATTGAAATGCAAGGGCGCGGATCTACTTCGCCTCACTGGAATCTGATTAAATTAGTAGATCGTTGACACGTGCAAGCCAAGTCGTCACGATGTCAACTTTATCCGAATAAAGGGAATCGTGAGGGTGATGTCATTGGTACAACACCCTAAGCTTCGACCAATCAAAACTGTAGCGCATCTTAAGCAAAAGCCTCCCTGCGCAAGAGTCGGTACGTACCCGCAGCATCAGCACTGTAGATGGACTCGGTGAAAGAAGCCTGCATAGGACACTCCGTACAGAAAACCAGCGAGGCATATATCGCAAATGACGGTGATGCAAATGTTTAGCATATTTCTCAGTTGGACAATAAAAATTGTTCTAGGGTATCATTCGTAAATGGTAGTACCATATCCCGCCCATCATACAGCCATGTATATATCCGTGGCAATATCACCCAAGATATTCCAGACGACAGCGCAAACTTGGTTGCTTTTGCCAATATTTCATCTCATCTCGTCATTCCTCCCCCTCGCCTTCGCTTTCTTCGTCACCTCCCTGTTCATGAACAATCTCATCTGCCAGCGCACTCCTATGACCACCGCTCTGTCTTCGACCCCGTCGATACGCCTCGGTCATTGTGATGGCTCTCTCTCCAACGTAATGATTCCCAGTCCATTCACGAGAGCATTTCGGGCAATTCGTTCCTCGCCGTGACCTCCAAAACGCTTCTTGGCAGATATCATGCAGCCGGAGCGTACAGTCGGGATCTGCACACCTGAGACCCCAAGTGACAATCTCCTTGCACGCCTCGCAGAATTTGATCCTCTGCCACTCGCCGGGCTCAGCATCTGGGTCATTGTACATGTCAATGAGCCAAGGACGGAGCTCCAAGAGCGCTCGTGGCGTCAGCGAGTAGAAACCCTCTCTGCTAATCTCGAACCACCCTCCCTCGACGAGACTTTCGAGAACGTTTTCTACCTCGCTGTGCTTTAAACCCCTATCTATCGGAGTTTGTGACTGATCTTCTCCATCCCCCTGGCTCTCTCTGCGTGGTGGCCTTGCAAGTTTGATAGCCTGCATCTCGGTAATACAGAGCGACTCAAGCCGGGGCCGGTTAAACTTTTCAAACATGGCATCGAGAACCCGCTTGATAAAAGAGAGCTCTTCCGGACTATATATCGTAGCGAGCTGTGTCTGGGGGTCGGAAGTGGTGTTCACGAGGGCAAAGATCCTCTCCTTGGTGACCTGATGCTGCGTGCTCCGAATCTCATAGTCAAACTGGGATGCTGTGGCGGAAGCTTTGTCGATGTAGTCATGAAATATTGCTTCCGTAACCTGATCGGGCCTGCATTCTGAACCTTCTGGGTCGCCGGCATTGTCGGCGTTGATGATGGCGGCAATTATCGGCCGTGCTTCTTTGTAGGTCAATGTTCCATTGGCGAGGAGGGCCTGAAGGAAAGCCCTGTTGCCATGGCGGTATCCGGATTGGGTACTCATGGATTGTGTGTTTTCTTTATGTGTGAGAAGGAAAATAGGGGCCCATATGAAGGCGAAACCGTTGAATGATGTCAAGATGTGATCTCTATCGGCTCTCAAGTGAAGCAAATTCACAAAACGCGTGAACAACGCGTGCCTCTTTAATGGATTGTGGCGGTGCGTGGCTTGAGTTGCCCACCAACACTGGAGAATTGTATAAGAGTAACGGCCAATATCAAGACCCAAAGTAGTGATATATGACATTCTAGTCTTTTTATCATCTTAAAGTCTCTGTAGCCTAGGAAAGCTATAGATGCAATGCAATGCAATGTATTCTATGCCTACCGCGTCATCTGCCCAAGCACGGCGAACTAATGCATATCCATGTACACCTTATTATATCTGCACAGGTACTGATTACTGGTTAGATGCTCGTACTAAGGGCTGCCTAAATACTTGATCCTGTCATAATTATTCATTTTTTTTTCTCTATTGTGATGCTCATCATCTTACATAGAACACTCTGCCTGATCATGCATCTTCTTGATCCAGTGAATGCAGCTCTTAATGTTACCTGCGCCACAGTTGTGCTGACTCATCCATTTTGACTGGCTAACCACTACACGTCGGCTTTGTCCTACAGAACTTCAATTCATCATTGTGTCAACACAAGGCAAATCCCCAATATACTAATTGCTCTGTGCCGTCGAAATAGAAATTACATTGTACCACCGAGGACTCGCAATATACCCATTGAGACACGCGGAGACGCTGCTAACTGCTTGGAGCTGCGCTTCCTACGTCTCTCTCAGGTCTACAATACAATCCAACAGCGTGCTCTTTGAGAGGTCTCGAGGTTCGACAAACATCCTATCACGCATCCACTCAAGCGTCTACAACTATCTTTGTTCCCTTCTCTATCAGCTATTTGTATGGGATATTTGAATTCTCGAAGCCGCTCCAGGTCAAGGGGTCACGAGACCCACGTGTCGGGATAGGCAGCGTGTGGTCGTGGAGCAAAACAGCAGCAACGCTCGTCCGAAACGCTGTATCATGATTTAGAAGCTATGGACACCAAAGACTTTGATGTGATCCGCATTGCGAGGAGCGATGGAGCCGATACCGGACCGGGGTATTGGCCAGTGACAACGGCGACGCCAGCAGCTACCACAGCCGCTAAGAAGTCAGGTAAAGAGGCCACTGTCGCAGACAAGACTCCACGAACAAAACCGCAGATGATGAGGCTAGCTGAAGACGACCCGAGGTTTGTGGAGTGGCGGGTCAAGTTGGGTATTCTGTTGAAGCAGGAACTTTCACCGAACCCAGACGGTAAGATACTCCCCAGCAACGATGGCATGCTGCTGCTGGAATACAGCCTGATAATGTCTTTTTCTCTGCAGAAGGAAATCCGTGGTATGTGCAATTTCCTCGAGGTTACTGGCTATATGAAAAGTCCAAGCATCTATGGGTGTCTGGATACCCCAATAAGTCAAAGCTATTCAAGAGTCCCCAGGAATTCGGCGTTCACTTGATATGGCTGCTGTCGGCATCCAAGGACTACAACGACTGCTGCTGTGTACACTGCAACATGCCCAACCTCTCAAAGTCTCCACTGGTTTCTGAAGAGGTGGCAGTGGCACAGCCTACTTCTCAAAGTTCAGCTCAACCCTCCATCCCGGCCCCTGTTCAGGTTCAGGCTCAGGCTCAGCTGCCAACTCAACCTCCTATCCAAGCTCTGGGAGAAACTCAAGCGAAGCTCGAGAGGCCTGTGAAAGTAACGCCGGTTCCTTTACCCCCAATCCCAGGTCAAACACCTCACAAGCCGCCTACTATTACTCCTCGCCCACAAGCAGTGCAGCAACCTCAGCAGACTCAACAACTGTCACAACAACCACAGCCGAAGCCTATCCAGCAGACTCCTGTACCGCTACCCACACCGATTCAGCCACGCGAATCGCGTGAGCCGTCCCAACCCACACAACCCGCTCAATCCCCTCAGCTTATACAGACAAACCCCTCCCAGCCACTCCCTACAGCTGTGCCCAATCCTTCAACCCCGATGCCTGCTGCCGCGCCGCCTGCAGTGCCTACACCGCTTCAGCAGCAAGCAGTCCAGCAGCCAAAGCCTCAGGCTATCCAGTGGTCGCTTAAGGGTCCATTGCTCTTCCGAGCCGGAGAACTCGTATGGTATCAGACAGGTAATACCTGGCGGCTTGGGATTATTTCAACCCCTGGCAACATGACCCCCAGTGGCATGACATTCGAGTTATTGCCCATTGGCCATGCCGTGGTGCCCCAAGCAAACGTGACCAAAGCTGAGGCCGACCTGCGGCCATTCCACTGCTATAGCGTCCCTTCCGTTGACATTGCGGAACTCAAGGACAAGGTGTTTGATGATGTACCTTGGGAAAGTCTATTTCAGGCTGCCGGCAACAATGCTGTTCGACGAGATCTTATTAACCTCGACGCCTCCAAGATGGCGGCCTCAAAAGTCGACTTTTCTCACTCGCTTTGGACCCGTCGCGGTGATGACCCCACCGGAAAAGCCGTGTCCTATTACGGCTGTTTCTTCGGTGCTGAGCGCCTCGAGATCGGCGATGCCGTACGGGTGAAAATGGCAGGGGCTGAAGCGAACTCCAGCCCGACAACCGTGATGGGCTTGCTACACATCTTTACTAGCGCCGACTATCCCGGCTCTGTTTTCTTCCGCGGACCAATCTATCAATTGTCAAAGGGCCCCAGCGCCGCGGGCACCGTCATCGACGACGAAAAGGACAAGCTGCCCCTCGCGCTGCAGGAGGAAATCCGGTGGCGGACGCAAGTTACGCGAAGCAAGCAGTGGTGCTGGATCCTCATCAAGGACAACGTCGTGTTCAAGGAGCAGTCTATTCGTGGCCGCTTTTACCCTACGCATCGGTTGATGCCTATTTACAACACGAATGACTTCAGGGGCTTGGTCGCGGGGCAACCGTTGAGGGATCAGCATATATACTTGAATAATCGGATGGAAGGGGGAGGGGGGAGACATATTGGACGCAAGGCGAATCGAATCGATACGCTGGGGCATTGTGTGCCGCATACGGCGAGGCTTGTGCTTGAGCCGCACATTATAGAGGAGTAGTTGTGTGTCTTGACGGGATTCGGTTTTTGCATTTGTGAAGGAAATGGAAAGGCAGCACGGAGCTGGAGCGCCCCTGAAAAGGGGTGATGGCATAATACAGTAATAGTGTGTTTTGTTTACAGTTGGTAGGTAAGATATACAATACTTTGGGCAATATAGTCACAGAACGAGTCCCTCGGAGAATCAATCATAAGCGTGACACTCAAACTGATATACAAAGGTATATATGTGTGTATATATATCGACAACCACCCTTATCAATGATGGAAAGATACTTTATTTTACTTTTTCTTTTTTGATGTTGAGTTTACTATCATCCCAACCCACCATGTGGTCAGAATAAAGGCAGAAGAATAAACACGGTTGACGATGAGTGTTGAAGAGATGATCAAATAAAAAGGTAGGCAGGGATAGGGGAGAATAAACCAGTCATGCTCTCGCTTTTTGCGCTTAAAAAAAACAAATAAGATATCAACCAGAATAAAATCCACAACAAAAACACCAAGACAAAAAAAAACTAGTCGTTCATCAATGAGCTGACCATTCCGAGTGAAGCCATCCTTTTTACTTTCTTTGTCCGTCCACGATATCCACCGCCTTCTTTCACCAGTAGATAGAACGATGGATCTGATAGATCGCGGCTCGTTTCCCCTTCCTCCCCCTTTCGGTAGATTGTTCATGACAAAAGAAATAGAGAGCTGCTGTAGGTTTGCGCAAGTTGGCTGGACCGACGCTTAATATGTAAAGAGAAGAAGAAAATGTCGTCGTTCCAGGAAAAGATACAGTGTCTGAGAGGAAGGGGGTGAGATGAGGAAAGTGAGTTGAGGTGAAGAATGCTTCAAGCACGGAGACGACACTCCAGCAAAGAGGAATGGCGTCGTCAAGGTCGTCTATGTAAAAAAACAGAACAGACATAATAGGTGAATGCAAGACGTGATGGGGAAAAGAAAATATTCGCTCAAGGGTCGATGCTGACAACGGCTTATATCCGTGCAGGTCAAACCAAGACAAATCCTACGTGACTTTGAGATTGTCCAGTTTAATTTGTATCTGCTTGACCACGTCCGGGTCGGGTATCGGTTCCACCTTGCGAGGCCGAGCACGAGGAGAGGACTTTGATTTTGGATTTTTACATTTCCTGCATTCCGTTCCGTTCGCGGCGTCCGTGGGATAAACCGCCTTACACTTTTCGCATTCGAAGTGAGGTACGCTGTTGGGACCAAACTCATCGCCGGGATACCCAAATGGATACTTGTCCTTCTTTGGCCTGTCACATATTCTCGTCAGCATTTAAACACACCACTTACTGGGACTAAAGGGTCTACTTACGGGTCTCGAGGGCAGTCGGTACAGCGGACGTGACTGCATCTCTCGCACGTTTTGGTCCCGGCAGTGAAAAGCGTCTGGCACTCGTGGCAGGTTCGTCGGACACGTTGGCGAGGCTTCTTATGGACGAGATCCTGGCCTCCCGTCTTGCTTGGGCGTGTAAGCACGAATTTCTTGTCTTCGGGGCCGTAGTCGGGCTGTATCGGGGCGTTTTCGCGGTTGGCCTTGATCTTGGCGGCTCTCCTCTCGCGGCTGGCAATGGCCTCTGCCTCAGAGAGCTTCGGTGGGTAACGCGTGCATTTGGTGCAACGATTGTGGTTGCAGTTGGGGCATTCCTTAGCAGCGCCAAAGGTAGCGTTGCAGCGATGGCAGGTTCGTCGAATGCGCATTCTAATGGGTTTGTCCATGCGAAGCACGGTATCGCTAGGGATGGCGTTGTGCCATTGCATAGGTTGAATCTCCAGGCCAAATCGTTCGTTCAACTTTTTGGCTCGCTCTTCAAACAGCTCCAGCTTGGAGAGCTTGTTGACTCCGGCCATGTTCTCATACGCAGCCCGCGCCTCAGCGGTTTTGA